AAGTCAAGAAACAATACATCCACTGCTTTCCCTTCATCCACAGAACCAGTAATCTCATTATAAAAGGCGATTAGATTAGTCAGGCATGACTTTCCCTTGGTGAATCCATGCTGGCTGTTCCTGATCACTTTCCTCTCATGCAAGTGCTTCAGGATTGATTCTTTGAGGACCTGCTCCATGATTTTTCCAGGGACTGAGGTAAGGCTGACTGGCCTGTAGTTCCCAGGATCCTCCTCCTTCCCTTTTTTAAAGATTGGCACTACATTAGCCTTTTTCCAGTCATCCGGGACTTCCCCGGTTCGCCACGAGTTTTCAAAGATAATGGCCAATGGCTCTGCAATCACAGCCGCCAATTCCTTTAGCACTCTCGGATGCAACTCGTCCGGCCCCATGGACTTGTGCACGTCCAGCTTTTCTAAATAATCCCTAACCACCTCTATCTCCACAGAGGGCTTGTGTTGATGCAAGTTTGCAGGGCCATTAATCGCATCCTGCTCAGAAGAACCGTGACTCTGGGTAACGTGCAGGACATTGTGGATGGCTTTGCACAAATGGGTTTCCCTAATTGTGGAGGGGCGATAGATGGGACTCATTCCTATTCTGGCACCACCCCACTTAGCCTTCGAGTACATTAATCGGAATGGGTATTTCTATATGGTTCTCCAGGCGCTTGTGGGTCACTGTGGGTGTTTCATTGACAGTAACGCAGGCTGGCCCGGAAAGGTGCATGACGCACACATCTTTCGGAACACTGGCCTGTTCAGGAAGCTGCAGGCCAGGACTTTTTTCCCAAAGAGGAGGATCACAGTGGGGGAAGTCGAAATGCCCATTGTGATCCTTGGAGACCCCACTTATGTGTTAATGCCATGGCTCATGAAACCCTACACAGGGAGCCTTGACAGGAGCAAGGAACGGTTCAAGTACAGGCTGAGCTGGTGCCGAATGACTGGAGTGTGCTTTTGGCCCTTTAAAGGGCCGCTGGTGATCTCTGTATGGGAAGCTGGACTTGGTCGAACACAGCATCCCTGCGGTTATATCCGCGTGCTGTACCCTCTATAATATTTGTGAAGGGAAGGGTGAAATCTTCACTCAGGCATGGACCTCTGAGATTCAACACCTGGAGGCTGAATTTGCACAGCCAGAGAGCAGGGCTATTAGAGGGGGCCAGCGCGGGGCTGCAAGGATTAGGGATGCCTTGAGGGAGCAATTTGAGGCTGAAAACCACCAGTAATGTCTGGTGCCCTGCATGGGAGTGAAGTGCAGTGGTTCCAATGTTAGTAGGAATCTGTGTTTGCTAAGCTGACTTGCAGTGCCTGTTTCTTTACTGGTGCTAAGGTATCTTTTACTTTATGCAATAATAAAGAATGTTTTCAAAGCCAAAAACTCTATTTATTGAAAACAAAATTCATTTATTGAAAAGAAACACAACTGCTTGGGAAACAGAAAGGGCAAGGGGGTGGGGTGGGGAACTGTTCAATCATAGATTTGCGTTATGTCCTGTTCTCATATTCAGCCTTCCTGTCTGAAGTGCCGTGCAATGAAAGCTGCACTTCAGGATGGCTATAATTCAGGATGGGGGTTGAGTGCAGTGGGTTAGGGTCGTAGTTTTCAGGGCTGGGTAGTGAAGCTACAGGTGTTGGAGGCAGCTGCTGGCGATAAGAACCCGGATGTTGGGGAAAGTGGGTTGGAGGTGACATGAGGGCACAAGGGAAAGAGTTTTGGGACAATGACTGTGAGAGGGAGAGCGGTAGTGCTCTGCCTGCATGGCTTCGAGCGCCGGATAGAGTCTGCTTGGCGCTCCATGTTGCTTATCAGCTGATCCGTGCTTTACTGCCGGAGCTCCGTGCTTTGCTTGCGGGGCACTGCGTTTTCCTGGCAGATCCGGCTTTCGCTCTTCCCTCCACTCCTGCGCTTTTTGATTCTCTTTAAGAGATTGCTGCATCACTTCTTACAGCGTGTCTTCTTTGCTTTTTCGTGGCCTCTTCCCGAGTCTTTGCAGTCACTTGGCTGGTCATAACACGGACTGCTGAGATCTCAAGGTTGCATCTGTAAAGGCAAAATGCAACACTTAACAGAGGCAGCATTGTTTATACCAGACAGAGTAATGATTCCCCCAAACTTAAGGACGGCACACACAGTCTACACACTAGCATAATTTTTCCATCCCAAAGAGAGTGCACGTAACCCACGGGAGCCCCAAAATGGTGAGTAAGCACAGGGTCAAGGGGGACTGATTGTTTCATGGCTGTACTGTCCTGTGGGTTTCTGTGCCTTGGGGAGAGCCAACAGCTGCAGGGAGCCCCTATACCGAACACTGTCCCAACATTTTCCACAGGAGTCCATTCTGGAAGATATCTCGCTGCTGAGGGTGACCTGGGAAGCAAGGGAGGGTCTTCTACTGCAATGCAGCTTCTGCCCTGGCCCATATGCAGCTTGCCTGTGTGCAGCAATGATCCCCTCGCGGCACAGTGGCAAGTACACATTAGCCTAACTGGGACAAGGACCACGGTGGCTCTCCCAATAAACCTGCGCAAGCGCATTGCCCACGTTCTGGATGAGACTTTCGAAGAGATAATGGAGGCTGATTACCACAATGCGATAGAGCATGTCAATGTGCTATTCCGCATCTAGGCATGCGTGCAGCCCTAACCCTCCTCGCCCAAAGAGCCCGCACCGAAAAAATTCCTTCCCGAAAAAAAGCCACTTACCAGGAACCTGCTCTTCTGTTTGTCCTCCACCAAGTACCGGCTGCTGCGACTGGCTACCTTCCTCCTGGCTGCATGCCTCCAGGGATTCTGGGGTTTCTGCCCCAGCACCCTCACTCCTGCTTTTCTCCTCCTCCTCCCGCTCTGAAGTGTCCATGATGGTGCTCGGAGTGGAGGTGGGGTCGCCCCCAAGTATCGCGTCCAGCTCTTTGTAGAATTGGAAGGTCACGGGGGGAGCACCTGAGTGGCCGTTTGCCTCATGGGCTTTGTGGTAGGCACTCCACAGCTCCTTCACTTTAATCCTGCACTTCAGTGCGTCCCGGGCATGGCCCCTTTCCCTCATGCCCCTTGATATCTGCCCGAAGGTATCGTAATTCCTACGGCTGGAGCGCAGCTTCCTCCCCCCAAACATTGATGAGGTTCAACAACTCTCCATTGCTCCATTTTGGGGCTCGCCTGGTGCGTGGAGGCATGGTCACCTGGAAAGATTTGCTGAGAGCACTCCATGCCTGGCTGAGCAAACAGGAAGGTGATTTTCAAAAGTCCCAGAGAATTTAAAGGGTGGGTCTGACAGTTGGTCACCTGAGGCCAGGGCAATAGAGTTCGAAGTGATGACCAGAGTGGCTAGAACAGGCATTGTGGGATACTTCCGAATACTTCTGGAGGCCAATCAGAGCGCATTGGGCAGCCACACTGGTGCCGCAGCGCACCAGTGGTGGCACAGCAAACTGTATTCCTCTGGGGAAGGTGGAGGACCAGCAGAGCTGTAGCTGCGGAGACACAGAGCTGTACGTGCTTGCCAGTGTAGACAGGGAGTGAGGTACAGCGCTCTGGGCGGCTTTATTGCGCTGTAACTCGCAAGTGTAGCCAAGCTCTAGGTAAACATTTGCAAGACGACTACATCCATTTACAGAAAGTAAATATGCATCTATATTTATTACATTTATTTAAAAAAAAAACTATAATTTAGTCACTCTTATGACATGTACAGAGTTATTATTTGGATAATGATGGATAGAAAGATATATAAATAGTTCCATAAAGTGTCAGATGTATGTATCCATGACAGCATACTACTCAGCAAGAGAAGTATTTTGTTATGGAGTAAAAAAACAGAGCAATCTGTTTTGGCTATTTATTTTCAGTCTCTGTGGTCTGTTCTGATGCATATATAGGATGTCATACAATTGGTGCAGACGTATGCTTTCATGAGAAACTAATCCCTTTTCCTGCAGAAAAGCCTTAAAATGCTAATCAATAACTAGGAAGAGTTGTCAATGGTGAAAGGGGCACTTTCCACCAAAAATGAAATTAATCAGACATGCTGCTTGTAAGGTAAGATGCACTGAAACGTTTGTTATAGGTAGAAAATGCTTCTAATGTTTACTTGCTAGATGTTAGCTTCAGAATGGAGACTAGGAAATAAACTTCAGTTATTTGGATTCAGCTGTTGGAATGTTTCCCTGCGCTGCTGCCTGCCCCAGCCCCCGAGAACCCCATTTTCCCCATTTCCTTTTCTCTCTTCACATGTGTGCTTCCACACACATCCTGAGGTCTCCAGGAGTACAGTTCCCTCGCTACGGACCTTACAAAACCTGCAGGTATGGGGACTGAAGAGATCATTCGTGGGATAAAGAGGGCCTTTCCTCTCCTTTGTTGTGTATTTCCTGAGGCATGCAGAACCCTCAGTGAATTTTAGGTGGCTCATTGCCCCCTCATTCATGAGTTTTAGGAGGTTCATCCTGACACACTCCGTCCCATGAGTCTTAGCCCTGGTCTACACTAGGACTTTAGGTCGAATTTAGCAGCGTTAAATGGATGTAAACCTGCACCCGTCCACACAATGAAGCCCTTTATTTCGACTTAAAGGGCTCTTAAAATTGATTTCTGTACTCCACCCCTGACAAGTGTATTAGCGCTTAAATCGGCCTTGCCGGGTCAAATTTGGGGTACTGTGGACACAATTCGACGGTATTGGCCTCCGGGAGCTATCCCAGAGTGCTGCATTGTGACCGCTCTGGACAGCACTCTCAACTCAGATGCACTGGCCAGGTAGACAGGAAAAGAACTGCGAACTTTTGAATCTCATTTCCTGTTTGGGCAGCGTGGCAAGCTGCAGGTGACCATGCAGAGCTCATCAGCAGAGGTGACCATGATGGAGTCCCAGAATCGCAAAAGAGCTCCAGCATGGACTGAACGGGAGGTACGGGATCTGATCGCTGTATGGGGAGAGGAATCCGTGCTATCAGAACTCCGTTCCAGTTTTCAAAATGCCAAAACATTTGTCAAATCTCCCAGGGCATGAAGGACAGAGGCCATAACAGGGACCCGAAGCAGTGCCGCGTGAAACTTAAGGAGCTGAGGCAAGCCTACCAGAAAACCAGAGAGGCGAACGGCCGCTCCGGGTCAGAGCCCCAAACATGCCGCTTCTATGATGAGCTGCATGCCATTTTAGGGGGTTCAGCCACCACTGCCGCAGCCGTGTTGTTTGACTCCTTCAATGGAGATGGAGGCAACACGGAAGCAGGTTTTGGGGACGAAGAAGATGATGATGAGGTTGTAGATAGCTCACAGCAAGCAAGCGGAGAAACCGGTTTTCCCGACAGCCAGGAACTGTTTCTCACCCTGGACCTGGAGCCAGTACCCCCCGAACCCACCCAAGGCTGCCTCCTGGACCCGGCAGACGGAGAAGGGACCTCCGGTGAGTGTACCTTTTAAAATACTATACATGGTTTAAAAGCAAGCATGTAAAAGGATTACTTTGCCCTGGCATTCGCGGCTCTCCTGGATGTACTCCCAAAGCCTTTGCAAAAGGTTTCTGGGGAGGGCAGCCTTATTGCGTCCTTCATGGTTGGACACTTTACCACTCCAGGCCAGTAACACGTACTCGGGAATCATTGTACGACAAAGCATTGCAGTGTATGTTTGCTGGCGTTCAAACAACATCCATTCTTTATCTCTCTGTGTTATCCTCAGGAGAGTGAGATATAATTCATGGTCTCCTGGTTGAAATAGGGTGCTTTTCTTAAGGGGACATTCAGAGGAGCCCGTTCCTGCTGAGCTGTTTGCCTGCGGCTGACCAGAAATGTTCCCCGCTGTTAGCCACGGGGAGGAGAGAGGGTTGAGGGGGTAGCCACGCGGTGGGGGGAGGCAAAATGCGACCTTGTAACGAAAGCACATGTGCTATGTATGTAATGTTAACATCAAGGTTTACCCTGAAAGACTGTAGCCACTGTTCTATAAAATGTGTCTTTTTAAATACCGCTGTCCCTTTTTTTTCTCCACCAGCTGCATGTGTTTCAGTGATCACAGCATCTTCTCCTTCCCAGAGGCTAGTGAAGATTAGAAAGGAAAAAAAAACGCACTCGTGATGAAATGTTCTCTGAGTTCATGCAGTCCTCCCACACTGACAGAGCACAGACGAATGCGTGGAGGTAAATAATGTCAGAGTGCAGGAAAGCACAAAATGACCGGGAGGAGAGGTGGCGGGCTCAAGAGAGGGCTGAAGCTCAAATGTGGCAGCAGCGTGATGAGAGGAGGCAGGATTCAATGCTGAGGCTGCTGGAGGACCAAACCAGTATGCTCCAGTGTATGGTTGAGCTGCAGCAAAGGCAGCTGGAGCACAGACTGCCACTACAGCCCCTGTGTAACCAACCGCCCTCCTCCCCAAGTTCCATAGTCTCCACACCCAGACGCCCAAGAACGCAGGGGGGGGGGGGGCCCCACTGGCCAACCAGCCACTCCGCCACAGAGGATTGCTCAAAAAAAAGAATGCTGGCATTCAATAAATTTTAAAGTTGTAAACTTTTAAAGTGCTGTGTGGCATTTTCCTTCCGTCCTCCACCACCCCTCCTGGGCTACCGTGGTAGTCATCCCCCTATTTGTGTGATGAATGAATAAAGAATGCATGAATGTGAAGCAACAATGACTTTATTGCCTCTGCAAGCAATGATTAAAGGCAGGAGAGGAGGGTGGTTAGCTTGCAGGGAAGTAGCGTGAACCAAGGAGCGGGGGGTTTCATCAAGGAGAAACAAACGGAACTTTCACACCGTAGCCTGGCCAGTCATGAAACTGGTTTTCAAAGCTTCTCTGATGCATACCGCGCCCTCCTGTGCTCTTCTAACCGCCCTGGTGTCCGGCTGCGCGTAACCAGCAGCCAGGCGATTTGCCTCAATCTCCCACCCCGCCATAAACAGCAAGCAGTAATAACAGTGGGAATATTGGTTTCGCTGAGGTCTAAGTGAGTCAGTAAACTGCACGAGCGCGCCTTTAAATGTCTAAATGCACATTCTACCACCATTCTGCACTTGCTCAGCCTGTAGTTGAACAGCTCCTGACTACTGTCCAGACTGCCTGTGTACAGCTTCATGAGCCATGGCGTTAAGGGGTAGGCTAGGTCCCCAAGGATACATATAGACATTTCAACATACCCAACAGTTATTTTCTGGTCTGGGAATAAAGTCCCTTCCTGCAGCTTTTGAAACAGACCAGAGTTCCTGAAGATGTCATGTACCTTTCCCGGCCATCCCACATTGATGTTGGTGAAACGTCCCTTGTGATCCACCAGGGCTTGCAGCACTATTGAAAAGTACCCCTTGCGGTTTATGTACTCGCAGGCTTGGTGCTCCGGTGCCAAGATAAGGATATGGGTTCCGTCTATGGCCCCACCACAGTTAGGGAATCCCATTGCAGCAAAACCATCCACTATGACCTGCACATTTCCCAGGGTCACTACCCTTGATATCAGCAGATCTTTGATTGCGTGGGCTACTTGTATCACAGCAGCCCCAACAGTAGATTTGCTCACTCCAAATTGATTCCCAACTGACCGGTAGCTGTCTGGCGTTGCAAGCTTCCACAGGGCTATCGCCACTCGCTTCTCAACTGTGAGGGCTGCTCTCATCTTGGTATTCATGCGCCTCAGGGCAGGGGAAAGCAAGTCACAAAGTTCCATGAAAGTGCCCTTAATGCATGCAAAAGTTTCGCAGCCACTGGGAATTGTCCCAGACCCGCAACACTATGCGGTCCCACCAGTCTGTGCTTGTTTCCCGAGCCCAGAATCGGCGTTCCACAGCATGAACCTGCCCCATTAGCACCATGATGCATGCATTGGCAGGGCCCATGCTTTCAGAGAAATCTGTGTCCATGTCCTGATCACTCATGTGACCCTGCTGACGTCGCCTCCTCGCCCGGTATCGCTCTGCCAGGTTCTGGTGCTGCATATGCTGCTGGATAATGCGTGTGGTGTGTAATGTGCTCCTAATTGCCAAAGTGAGCTGAGCGGCCTCCATGCTTGCCTTGGTATGGCGTCCGCACAGAAAAAAGGCGCGGAACGATTGTCTGCCGTTGCTCTGACGGAGGGAGGGGCGACTGATGACATGGCTTACAGGGTTGGCTTCAGGGAGCTAAAATCAACAAAGGGGGTGGCTTTACATCAAGGAGTATTTCAGGCAGGACTTCACGGAGGGTTCCAATAAGAAATGGTGCACCTAAGTTATTGTTCTTATTGGAACAAAGAGGTTAGTCTGGCCTCTGATTGATACATGGCTAGATTTGCCTCGCTGCACCTTCTCTGTGAGTGACTGCAGTGTGACCTAGAGGAATGAGTCCCCTAGACGGGTGGAGGAGGAAGCAAATGAGTACAAAACAAATCTGGTCTATTTCTTGTTTTGATCCACTCCATCTATCTTTTACATCTTTGGCTGGCAGCAGACGGTGCAGAAGGACTGCATGCCATCCACATCTCATGGCTGCCCGGCAGAAGATGATGCAATAGGATTGCTAGCAATCCGTATTGCCTGCCTGCTTACCATAAGACGGTTCAATAGGACTGACTGTAGGACTAAAGAGAATGACCTGGTCAAGTCACTCCAAATTTAGTCCCTGCGCCCATGTCTGTCCAGGTGCTCGTGGCCGATGTGGTCAGGAGCACCTCGGACATGACGATGACGTCTACCAGTCGTACTGTACCGTCTGCTGCCAGAAGGCAATGGGTTGCTGCTACTGTGTAGCAATGCAGTACCGCGTCTGCCAGCACCCAGGAGCCATACGGTGATGGTTACCTGAGCGGGCTCCATGCTTGCCGTGGTATGGCATCTGCACAGGTAACTCAGGAAAAAAGGCGCGAAACAATTGTCTGCCCTTGCTTTCACGGAGGGAGGAAGGGAGGGAGGGAACGGGGGCCTGACAATATGTACCCAGAACCACCCGCGACAGTGTTTTAGCCCCATCAGGCATTGGGATCTCAACCCAGAATTCCAATGGGCAGCGGAGACTGCGGGAACTGTGGGATAGCTACCCACAGTGTAACACTCCGGAAGTCGACGCTTGCCTCGGTACTGTGGAAGCACTCCGCCGAGTTACTGCACTTAATGCACTTAGAGCATTTTCTGTGGGGACACACACACTCGAATATATAAAACCGATTTCTTAAAAAACGACTTCTATAAATTCGACCTAATTCCGTAGTGTAGACATACCCTTTGTAGGCTTTTTTTAGTCTTCTGAGCCTATTTAATTCATTAAAAGATTGACAGATCTAGAGAAGGTTGGGGAAGGGCTGCCATCTAATCCCATCTAAGGCTTAACGGGAAGAGCATTCAGAAGTTTCCCACAGAGTCTTCTAAGACATGTAGAGGTGATGGTGCTCGGTCTCCTAGGGCTGTGGGGGAGGAGGGGTTTCACAAGCTTCTGAAAGTCCACACAACGGGGGTGAGGGAAGCCTGTGACTTTTCTTGGGGCACCCAGGACTGAGAATCACATTGTAACCCCATGCCTCCAGTATGAAGGAGTCTTGCCTGTGCTTGATTGGGTATCAGCAACCTAATTCTGCCATCGTTTTAGCCATTCAAGCACTCTCCTTGGGATTATACCAGCCCTGTATTCACCTTGCAGGTTAACAATTGGTGCACCTGAGCCCCGTGTGGTATTTAGCTGCTGACACTGACTACACACAGAAAATCCAAATCCTCTGCCTCCAAAGGTGCAGTGTACCCTACTTTGCCGGTATTACCCTAAACCACCGCTCCTATAAACCACACAGCAGCTATGAGCCCTAACAATAAAACAAAAGTAGGCTTATTTAAGAAATAATTAAGATTAAAGTAGAAACAAGAAGGAGTGGTGGAAACAAACGGTAACAATACAAAACAATCACCAAATGCAAACCTTGGTCTAGACTTAATAGTTACCTTTCCTATCCAATAAAGTAGGTTTACCCCCCACCCCCAAAGTTCAGTGTGTTGCAGAGCAGACTGGTTTCATCAGAACCAGGATCCAAATGTTCATGAAACCATCCCCACACCACAAGGGGTTTCCTGAGGAAATGGATCCAGAGTGCTTCTCACTCCTCTGTGTTATACTGAAAACAGCCTTTTCCCCCCGATTCACAGACTACAACAAGACAGGGGTTAGCCCTAAGTTCCTTTTTTACCTTCAAGTGGTTCTGATTGTTTGCGGTTGCCTCTGATTGTTTTCCATTGGAAGTCCTGGTATTGTGCAAGGCCACACAATTGAGCCTTGCATTATGTCACTGGCTAAGATGACAACTCCCTCACTACCCAAATGGGCCATCGCTGAGACACATTAGCCCCTAGTGACTAACTTTTATTCCAAGTCCATAAAGCATTCTTTCACTATAATTCCTTAAATATTACCTGCAATGATTATGAATTTTGACAAGTTACAAGCTTTCTGTAAATACTTTACATATTACTCTTTATGGATAAATATCCTGGAGGACATGTTTGGTGTAGTGAGTTTGAGAGATCTGATGTGGTGAGAGTTGTTTGCAAAGAACAGGGGACTCAGCTGTGGGGCTTCTGTGTCAGTAGGAAACAACAGTTTCCCTAAAGCTTGGAGGTGGCTTTGGCCTGATAAACGAACTAACTAACCTAGCTCACCTTGATTCACTTACACAGGCAAAGCCATACTTTTTTGTGTACAGGACCTAAGGTCTACCGGAGATTGGTTTCCTTCCTAAGGTACCTTGAGCTGTGTATTAGCAAAGTAATTTTCCCAGTACTCCACATACCCCCATCTTTCAAAGGCCCCCTTTGCTTCCTAGTCTCATGTTAGTTCTATTTAAAGAACTAAGAAGATTCCCACACAAAATTAATATTACAGGCATAGTTCAGTGGCTTGTGTGTATTATTGTTGAACATTGGTTTAGTTTAATAAACTGCACTCACTGCCCCACCAAAAATTCAAACAGTAGAAATTCTGAGTTAAGCTTAAACTTATAAGAAACCAACCAAGCTTTTGAACATAGTATTTACTCTTTTTCCCGAAGCAGTGACCTGAGTAAATCAGAAAGTTATACTACCTTATCCATTCTTTTTTTAATAAGGACCATAAAAACTAGAATACTTTAATCTTATATTGTAGCTATGCTGCTCTGTGGCCTTCATGGTGGTGCATAATAGACTTAAAACAA